CAAAAAAAAAATTTTTTTTTTTATTTTGTGTAAAACCACATGCTTGGTAATTTTTTTCAGAAAACCAGTCAACATGCATTCCTAAGGCAAGTTAGGATAACAACCGTAGACAATTATCAAGGAGAAGAAAACAAAATAATACTTTTGTCCTTGGTGCGTAACAACGGACAGGGAAACATTGGATTCTTGGCAGAAGAGAACAGAGTTTGTGTAGCTCTGTCACGGGCTCGAGAGGGCTTATTCATAATGGGAAACATGAGTGATCTTCTCGTAAAAAACGATATTTGGCCCAAAATTAAGACAGTGCTGGAAGAAGAGAACGCCATAGGAGACTACATCAAATTGAGATGTCAGAATCATCCAGACCAGTTTTTCGAGGTATCTCTCATTATCGGACTACATCAAACGAGAAACAGTTTTTAAATTTTATATTGTTTAAAATTTACCACAGGTTAGCAAGGCAGATCATTTTCAACAGTGTCTGGAAGGAGGTTGTTCAAAAAAATGTGACACATTGTTATCTTGTGGACATTATTGCTCGAGTATTTGCCACGTACTTGATCGACAACATGAAAAGTATCAATGCAGAGAAAAATGTTTGAAATCATGTCCCAATGATCATCCCTGCAAACTTTTGTGTTGGCAAGGTTGCCAACTATGTAAAGTTAAAGTTGAACGCACACTAAAATGTGGACACACTGTCAAAATGCAGTGTTCGTTTGAGGCAGACTCATATCCATGTGATGTGGAGGTATCTTATTTTAGCTTACTAATATATAAAGCAAAGTCGCTAAAACCGTTGTAATCGCTAACCGCGAAAACTACTTAACCGATATAGCTGAAATTTTGCGTACTGGTTCTTGACACTTTCTAGATGGTTTTAGTATTGGGATTCCAAAAGGTCACGTGACTCTCGCGATATATATAGTCACTTGGGGGAAAAACAACAGGCCTTATGGGTGTAATTCTATTTTTATTTTTTTTACACGTTCAACGATAGTAATACGATAAAAGCCTTTCAATAACATATTTTTGAGGAGATGACAATACCTAAGCTATTTTTTCCCAACTCAATGAGTCTTTTGCAGCTTAAAACTTTCCTTTGAAAGTGCGAAAACGCACATTTAACTTGTACAAAGTTCTCCCGTTTCCGACTATATAATATATAGGAAAACAAACAGGATTTTGGTAAGGTTACAAGTGCGTATTTGCACTTTTAAAGGAAAGTTTTCAGCTGTAAAAGACTTTCCTCAAAAATATGTTATTAAAAGGCTTTTATCGTATTACAATCGTTGAACGTGTAAGAAAAATAAAAATAGAATTGCACCCATAAGGCCTGTGTTATTATTTTTCTCCCAAGTGACTATATATACCGTGAGAGTCACGTAACATTTTGGAATCCCAATAGTTTTTATCTCGAAAAAATGAATAACAATAGCAATATATATAAGCTCAGCGTTTTTAGCTTTTTTCTTTAGTTCGGTAGGATTCGCTAAGTGGCGTCGAAGTAAAATCGAAGCTACTTTAAATAGAAGTAAGTGGGTCCGGTTATACTTCAAGTCCTCTCTTTAACCTTAAAAGCGCTTAAAGTGCGCCAAAACGTGACCAGCTGATTAACTATTGTTTACATGTGCGAACGCACGGTCAGTTAGTTGAGCCAGGGTGGGGGTAGGTACCAACCAAAAACTTAACCGACGGATCATTTCCGAACAGAGCCTTAATATCCCCGAGAAAATTACCCAGTACCCCAGATATTTACCGGCAGAGTATGAAGTGTACTGCTGCGAGTTGTGCAGTTACCGACCCCACTCTTCTGTAATGACGATATACACTCGCCGTACCTTGATTCGCAAACCGCGAAGTTTGAAGTCTTAAATTTTTTTATGACAAATAAACATTAAGTATGATTTTAACATTGTTCAATAGTTTTTAATATAATAGTTGTTTATCGTTATATTTTTATTTTATGGTTATGGTTGTTCCTCGTGTTTTAATACGATAAATTACTTCAAGAATTCAAACTTTGCGGTTTGCGAATCAAGGTACTGTGAGTGTACATCGAACTTCATCCCGGACCACCTAGAGTAATGAGTGCCACACTATTACGAATAAAAGACTTTTTGAACGCTAATGTTTCTGGCATAATACCAGGAGACATCTAGCCAAAGCATAGTCGACTCTAACACTTCAGGGTTTTGTTGCCATTCTTAAAACTGATTTGGTGCTCTCAGAGCAGATTTTGCTACAATAGCAAGCCAGGTAAGACTACTTATAGAAGTTGGGACAGCCACATCAACTGGAAATTTTATCGGCCTCCTCCTCAGTGGTTTGTCCTAATGGCACACCCACACAGATATTCTCCAGGCCCACTTCCCCGGCCAACAGTGAACGGTTGGTTATTTAAGGAACGACTTGAAGACTATGAGATATTCTTCGGCCAGCAGTGTATTATACCTTCCTGCAGCACGGTCTCCGTACGCATGGACTATCTGAGGGTAAAAGTCAAGCTACCCATCGATAGCTTAATTTCCATTATCGAGAATAATATATAATAATAAGGAATGACTGGAAGTACCATCACTGACCCTTCTCAGGGTCATAAAACGTTAAACTACTTTACCAACAAATACATTTTTACTACCATTTTTGGCGCAATCACTGGTCGGCTAAAAGACTATATAAAGCCAGCCACTATAAAACCACGTCAGCCATTCACTGGCAGACGTCACGAGTGGAGTTGTTCGTTGCGTGGTTGGAAACCCCCACCAACTCCCCTCAACTCTAAGTATTCAACTAGGAATCACCGATCCTCTCCCAGATCTGCGCTGGGCAAACCTAACAGCTATGAAGGAAAAATAAACTTGATCAAACAAGACAGTCTCCACTGGGCAAGTATCACTAACCAATCTCCCCATCTAAGATCACCAAAACAACTGAATCTGCAAAATAAAAAAGGTGCACAAGTATCACTAACCAATCTCCCCATCTAAGATCACCAAAACAACTGAATCTGCTAATAACAAAGGTGCTTTAGACACCAATGTCTTCGACGTTATACCGGGAGACGTTATGAAAGATCTTTACAACTCGCTCCAAAGCTTCAAACGTTGTAGTTCTCTTCCCGATCAGTGTGGTGCTGCAATAACAGGCCAAAGAAGATCACCCTGAGGTATCGAGGCAGTCACGTTTGCTGTTAACTTCAGTCAAGAAAGAGTTGACTTAATAAGCTCACCTGTTTTTTTTAGGGTCATCGGACGTCGAACTACCTTGCCAATAAATATATTACAACTTAACAGTTAAGTTGACCAAAAACAGCCTTTAGGGGTCACAAAAGTCTTAAACATGCCAAAAGTCGCAAGAGGGTAAATTGGAAGGAAAACTTCAAATCCATCTAATATGTACAATTTTTAGCGTCAAGAAACTGACGCAGAATGTTAATTGAGATTGGAACAGCAGCCTCAAAATCGACGAATAAAGAATTCATTTATATATATTCGTATTCAATGTGGTGATAAAAAATGGAGAGGTTAAGCTCCAGAATTTCTGCATGGCTTCCAAACAAAAATATTTTTAAAAAGACGTTTTTTGTTCTGAGAAGTGTCAAGAATAGATGTAAAATTAAACTTTATGCTGTGGTGTGAAAATTTAAAGCACTCCTGTGAAGCAGTTGTGCCTAAAAATGAATTCATTACTAAAGTTGCAATAACGAGTTTTTTTTTCAATTTCCAGCTAGATGTAATATTATCACTGTGTAATCACGCAATCAAAAAACCATGCTACGAATCCGAAGAATTGGTTCAGTGTACTCACAAATGCGAGATTCGTTTGGACTGTGGCCATGCATGTGTCAAGAAGTGTCATGCAAACTCAGATCCTCATCACCTTCAGGTATTGAAAAGATAACATTTTTGACACGAAAATACAATAGTCTTTTTTTTACCTATTCATAAATTGAAGTAATAAATATAATTGTTTATTTTTAGTACTCTTGTCGTAAAGATTGCACCAAATTAAATGCAAATTGTTCGGGGGAACATATTTGCAAAAAAAAATGTTTTGAAGATTGTGATCCCTGTAAGGTGCTTGTTGACAAAATACGTTCATGTGGACATCATTTCAATAAAGTGGCATGTTCCTTAAATGTTGATGATGAGAAATGTGAGCATAAGTGCAATCAGGTCTTGAGTTGTGGTCATAAGTGCCGCCGGAACTGCTCGGATGAATGCATAAACTGCTCAGAAATAGTAAGATATTTTTTAAAGATATGATTGAAGTATCAGAGTCAAGTCCTCATTATTTATTTTTGAAATTGAATATACTTTGTTTTTCAATAAATAGGTAAAAAAAAAGAGCTCGTGTGGTCACACAATAGGAGTTAAATGTTGCGAAGAAGCCACACCTTCCAAGTGTAGTGAAAAGTGTCCAAAAACATTAACTTGTGGTCATCCGTGCACTAAGAAGTGTATGGAGACATGTACGGTGAATTGTAAGGTCATGGTGCAAATGAGCGAGCCAGGAATGTGTGGTCATATTTTTTCAGTACCCTGCCATTTAAAAAATTCTGGTAAACATTTGGACGAACTTATACTTCTTGCTTAATCGTATGATACTCGGTCTACAAACATCAGGTGAGATTTCTTAGTGTCCTCACTAAAAAAAATTAAAAATTAATTTTACAGTATTCAAATCTGCCATATTGGTGAGGCCATTTAGATAATACATTGAAAAACACATCTTTTTAAGTTTTTTCATGTTGATTATTAAAAATTAAATAAATTTTTTCAAACTCTTAAGTAAGATCTTATCTAATATCTTATCTTAAAAACCCTCCTGGGAACCGAAGAAATTTATTATATTTTTCCGCCCTCGGGTGGTTTTGGAAGGCTGGTACTTCCTCGGGCATAAAAGCAGTTTTCCGATACTCGTTCGAAAAGTCTCCTTTACGAACCTCGTTACGGACCTCGCCTTCGGCTCGGGCCGCAAACCTCTCGGTTCGCAAACAAAGACTTTTTAAACTCGTAGGAAAACTACTATTTCGTAATAGTGTGCAGATAATTGGTGTTTTCCATACTATTTTTAGTGTGGCATATCGAATTTTCCACCCTGACCATAAAAAAAGTGTGTGGAAAACTATTTTCCACACTCCTTAACATACTTTTACAAAATCTTTTTAAAAAAGTTGACAAAATATCATACGTTATTTGAAATGTAACTAATAAATTTCTAATACGCAGATAATATTGTGAAATTCAGTAAAAATGACTTGCACATATTGTCTTTATAAATTTTTGAATTTATAGTAAATCAAACTCCATTCAATTTTAATGTTATTTAATTAGACAGTTCAAACGGAGAATTTTCGAAATGAAATTACAAAAATTTAATAAAATTAAGTTTACTTATATGGTTTTCAAAAAAAAATGTTTTTTTTTTTTACAAAACGATTGCTTTATTTGTAGCGCTGAACAGCGAATAAATTAATAATCACACGATCGTGCTACGCACTTATGTGCTCAACTGGCACTTGTCGCCAGCAAGTACTCATGAGCGTTAACCACAACTCGTGTCGGAAATCTTCTTTTCTGCACTTGTAACGTAAATAACTATTTCTTTACTTTGGTACTATTTTTTTCTTTCTAATGATGCATATGATATTTTCTTAATTTTATCATAACACTATGTNGCTGCTGCCCCTGGACCCCGCACAACCTACTTGCGAATTATTTATTTTTTACTTTAGATTCACTTAACTATCAATGATGGATAAAATCATTATGATAATATTTATTGTACCCTGCTCGTGTAAATAAATAATGCAAAGTGCATAAGCTTCAAATTTTTTATTTAAATTATTTATTTTAAAATTAATATCAATTTTCCTCACAGATATTACAAAAAATCTTGTACGTTACTCGTGCGGACGATTTCCCGCGCTCGTGTGCTCAACTACCACTCGTTCCCATCAGCAACTTTGGCCACTTACGCGCGTCAATCACAACTCGTGCCGGAAATCTTCTTTTCCACACTTGTAACGTAAATAACTATTTAAAAATTGGCACTAAATACTTTGTAAAACATAAAACACATTCGAACGGGAATGCTTTGAATACTATAAAATTGAATCTTAACTTTTTTTTAGTAAAGATATTTTTTATGAAATCTCAGCTGAATGTCGTAGACAGGGTATGCATTGATGTACATTTATTTTAAATATTTCTTGATTTGTAGATCCGAAATCTCGTGAGTTAATGAAATATTGCAAACGACCTTGTGACTATAAATTAGCTTGTTCTCATTCTTGTAAAGGAAACTGTGCGAGCTGTGTTCAAGGTCGCATTCATGCTTCTTGCACTGAACCCTGCCGCAACATATTTATTTGTGGACACGCGTAATAAGATTTAATACACAAATATTACCTAATTTTCGTATTTAACGGCATAATTGATAGTTGTATTTAATTTTTACGAGTAAAAAAAATTGTTGTAGATGTCAAACAGCTTGCAATCGAGAGTGCCAAACATGTACCCAAAAATGTGAGGTCAAGTGTCACCATAGCAAATGTGGGAAGAAATGTGGCGTGCCTTGTGTACCATGTCGGGTAAGTATCATTATAATTTTCAGATATTTATAGAGATAAGCACCATTATTAAATTTGAGAGACTGAAACTGTCGCGTGAAAAAAAAAAATTTTTTTTTATCATACAATACAATAAGATCTTTTAATTGCAAAACGCAAGGCGTTTCAGAACTTCTGTAGTTTTGAAAAACTTTATAAAATTCAAAACAAATGCCTTGAGTGCCGTTAGTTTCAACCAATTTGAAAAATCTGGAAATTCTTAGGGTTTTTTACGTTCGGAAACAGGAAAAACTCCGAAAGTTGTACTTTTAAATCCTGAAAGTTTTGGGTCTATTTATATGTAAACAAATGAGTTACAAGCTCAATCATAAAAGACACGGCCTTTATTATATTCATACAAAATTAGTTGTGCTTTAGTAAGATGTTTAATGACAGTAGATGAATGATTTAAAAAAAAAATACGTCCAATGGTGGTATTGTCAATTTTTTATTTTCAAGCGAAATAACAAACAATTATTTCTCTTGAAAATGAAAAACTAACAGTGTCACTAACAGTATCGTATAATTTTTCAACATAAGTTTTGCTTGTTCGTATCCTTCATAAGTTATGTAAAATTGTAAGTTTTATAAAAAAATTTTTTTTACTAAGTTTAAAAACTTTCATACTGTTTATTTGCTAATTTATTGTAACTATTATTATTTCACGTTATTTTTTATTATTATAGTATAGTATTTAGATTTCAACGTATACTCATTGTAGGTATTTTACGTATCTTAATGTCGCTAATCTTTCTCTATGTTCCTTGTTCTTTTTCCTCAATTTCCATTCCACGTGGTTATCTATCTCACTGGGTACTACTTACAGGGCGAAGTGATTGTCTTAAGCACGCCCTAGCTGTTATCAAGTTTAACGGAAAGATGTTTTCCGATTACTTTAAAATTACTCACTTTCTCATCCTGTGACAGATGCCCGAGGAAAAAATCTCGATAAAATGTCTATTCACTAGAAAAAATGTTTTATTTTGATAAAATGCCTAGGGAATCTTTTATATTATACCCCTGAAAATCTGACTGAAGTCCGAAAATTGAAAAATGCCAGATTTGTAGAAATCCTGTTCTCGTGTAAACCTGATCTTTGTTAGTTTTCTTGAAAGACGTCAGTATTCGTAATAGCTACTTTTACACATGAATAGAAAAAAAATTTAAAGCACTGATTACGCAAGAAATCGGATTGTTACCTAATGAGCGTGACTTTTGAAAAGCAGATCCTTGTAAATTATGACATAATTCATATCAGATAAGAGTCTTAAGATCTAAAATTTCTGTGAGGAAATAAAAAAATAACTACATGCATTAAAAAATTTTAACTTCTTATATTTAAATAAGCTGTGCAGAGATAAGTTACAAGTGTATACAATATGGTTGTTTTTAGATGCAACGTTTTTTTTTTTTTTTTTTCATTTATTCAATGATTCTGCCTGTGCACCTTCCTCGATAATTAGAACGGTGGTATTATTGATTCTGTTTTTGTAGTTCAACTTTTTAAATTTAATTAATCCATTCAGAAACCATTTCAACATCGTAAAAACTGTTCTCTTCGTCAGCGACTTCTTCGTACGACAATTCTGAAAAATATGTTTGTCAGTATACAATTATACCCTTTAATACGAGAAATATTTATGATCGAATGTATGTTTTATAAAATATTCTTAAGTAGATGTATGGTAGATGGTAGATATATGGTTAAATTATTATTACTAATCTATAGTTTTAATTTAAGTATTCTTGGAAAACATGCCTTAGATACAGGTAGTTTTTAAAAGATTTTTTGTCTTTTTTAACAAGTTGAATCTCGTGAAATATTCGAGAAAATCCCTAACGTGAAACAGTTTTTAAATACGGAGTAAATTTTTTTTTCGACCATGAGCGTTTTTCTCAAACTTTAGATTTTTCTATGCCATCAGTATCATATTATAGAAAAAATAGAGTTCGCATCTGGTGTGTATCTATTCAGTGTGATCACAAAGGTCGATTGGGCGATGCTTTGGAGTGCCCTTCGGGACCAGTAATCATCATGAAAAATATTTGCACTAGTGATAAAATTTTCAACAAGATTTCTGAACGATACATATAGTGCAACCTTTATTACATTGCTTGTTTTATTATACTGGTACATCATTAATTTATTATGGCTTTTTCATTAAAAAACGTTCGTAAGAAAAGAAATAAGAAATGTCCTTTCGTGTGTTTTGGTACGTATTTATTTGAGTATGAATTTTAATAATCAGATAATTTTCTCAATTCCCTCCATCAATAAGGTTTTGTTATTTTTAGAGTCTTAATACCACTAAATAAGAATATTTTAATTTTATTTGTTTGTTTTTTTTTTTTTTTTTTTTTTCATTCAGAACATTAAAAATTTTTGTAAGTCGATTTCGTTTATAACTCTTTATTGTTTTCCGACACTTTCTTCTAGAATATGAGGCTGACTACAAAATTTTCTATTGAGAATTGCATTTTATCAAAAAAAAAGTTGGTATGTCGGTGTGCTTTTACGATGTACAATTAATTACCTACTTTTCGAGATCCCATCGACTAATTTTGATTTAAGATAAATAAACTTCAGGTTTTATACATTTTTTAAAATATTGATTTCATAGAAACTTTAATTGTTATGTATTTTATCGTTGCTATAGTATGGAAGAAAAAAAAGAAGCGTTTACGAGAGATAGAAGAACTCTCCATACAACTGACATATGACTTAGTGGAGTAGGCATAGGTACACTCGAGGCACTTTATATCTGTCGGAACGATTACATACGGTCAATGATGTCCTGTAACCTATAATATAACAAAGGCGTACTGTCACTTAAGGGGGCTCCTTCACGAAAGTCCCCAAACAGAGATATATTATTTCTCGTAAATAAAAGTCTACTGAATTTAATGGTGGTCTAAATTATATTTCGAATGGGTCAAAATTTTGAGAAATCCGAGCTCAAAGTTGTAACTATTAGCACGCGTTCCTATGGGGCAGCGTGAAAAACAATTTGTTTTCGTTTATAATAAACCTAAATTAAATGTCCCAGCAGACTGAATATATACGTTTTGTAGATGAAGTCTTCCTCTGTAATATGCTGTATTAAAAATTGTGGATAAAGGACTATTTTAGCGAGATATTTGTGATGGAAATAAATAAATAGTGTCCGGGAGGTCAGTAGCAGACGTACTTGTTCACGACATATATATACCATATACCTATATATTACATCGCTATACTACACCAACGCAGGTGATCTGGTCTGGTGGTGTACCCTCGTATGCACTAGACTGGTCAAAACAATAATTAATTTTTCGTACAAAGTTACACTACACACATAAATATCATTTTTCCCACTTCATACGTTATTAAAAATATCATAATGATTTTCAGATACATTTGTTTATTGAAAAACAAAACTTTATTTTTTTTTTGTCTTTGACCTCAGCAGTAGTCGTAGGAGCCCCCTTAACAGGTAATTTTTCATCGGTCCGATAAATATAAAGTGCCTCGAGTGTACATGACGTCTGACACTATCGCTGACCAGTCCTCTGAAAACCTAAACATCAGAAAAACAAGTTCCACGAAAACAGTACCTACTTACCTATATTAAGGAGGTTTTCAATCCCTCGCTATGGTCTGTACAACGCTCTCTCTATAGTTTGGTATGTTGTCTGTCTATCTCGCTCTCCTGCGACAACATAACCTTTTGTAGTTTTTACCACGCTTATTAATTAATTTCTTCTCTTAAAAGAGCCCTTGAGATCTTTAATGAAATTAATAGTAATAGGAGCGCTTAAAAAGACAATAGCCCATAAGCCTACATGTAAAAATTGACTAAATACGAATATTAATTACTCGGCTCTTACGAACCCTCATGCCTTCAAATTTTGACAGTGTCATTGTTATGACTTTATTTATTTGTACACAAATTTTTATACAATTCTCATTGTTTATTCGTTTACCGATAAAACTACCTCAACACCTTCGTTTTGTAAAAAACGCCGCTACCTCGTGGTGTTCGCTGTAAATCTTATGTAAAAAATAAATGATCACACCATTACACGTGACCTAAGCCATTTTTGTTAAAATTGAGTTTGGCAGGGTTTTCAAAAAGTCCAATTTATTTGAATACTGCTGTAGGTTCATACTATTTAATTTTATTTATTCACATATTAAAGAAAAAAGAAAAAAAACTAAATAAGGAATTTTATTTGTTTACATTAAACATAAAATAAAATTATATGTCATGTACGACAATATACAGTACATACATTTTTGCGTAATAATTTTTTTTCAATTATTTGTTTATTTAAATAAAAAGTAAAAAGTAAAATACATGGTTAACCACAAGATAAAGGTTATATTGGTAATAATAATCACTAACCTTTGGCGCGCATCACGCTCCCTTCGAGGCTAGTGTTTATAAAAAAGTTCCAAGCGTTTTGCGTTTTTCATTCAAAGGCACTCTGAGGGTAATGTAATCATTATTAAATTATCAAGTAAAATCAGTATTAAAAAAAGACAAGTTTCAAGCTTACAGTCAGATGTGCGTGGTTTATGATTAATTACAATATACATGAAAAAAGATATTTTTGAGAGCACCTTGTGTTTCAAAGCCAAAGGCTTTATGTAGTTATTTGAATTATGAGATTATTTTACCTAGTTTCTAAAAACTGACACAGAAGTACTGTTTTCACTAAAGAGACATCGCATACCATTTTTTCATCATATTTATTTATTGCGAAAAAGTTTTCAACATTAAAAAAATTATTATCATACGTAACCATGCATTAAAACGCGAAATTACCGTTTTTTACCCATATGTAAGGCCCAAGCACCCTCTTCATCTTTAACTTATACGTAGTTAATGATGGCTATTCAAAAAAAAAATTTTTTTCTTTTTTTCTTTAGGAAAAATGTCAAAGGTCCTGCAAGCATAAAACTTGCAGTAAAAGATGTCACGAACTGTGCGATATAGAACCATGTAATGAGCCTTGCGCAAAGAAATTGCGTTGCAACCACCCATGTATTGGTTTTTGTGGGGAACCTTGTCCTTCTAAGTGTCGGATATGTAATAAAGCTGAATTGTCAGAAATATTTTTAGGAAATGAAGATGATCCCAATGCAAGGTTAGATATACTTAGTACTTACACTATGTAATCAGGAAAATACATCATTTTCGTTCATTTTTTAAATAATTTTCTTTATATATCTCTGCACAAAATAAACAATCTGTTTCAAGACAAAATTATTACAATAATGACAAAATACCCTTACATTGTTTAGATTTATTTTACTACCGGATTGTAAGCATATTATTGAGAGCGAAGGACTTATGAATTGGATCAAACCCGCACCGAAGGCCGAAGAATCTTTGGAAATAAAAGTTCCTACGTGTCCAAGATGTAAGACTCCCATAAGAAATTGTATGAGAATCATGAATCAAATAAAAATAGACTTGAGGAATGTAATAGTAATAAAAAAGCGACTATTTTATAACAATGATAAGACAAGCATAAAAAAAAGACAAAGCGAATATCTCGAAGATTTGAAGAATATAGAAGACTGTAAATTAGAAGGTAATCATTCCAACTTAAACATTATTTACTACGTGAATGAAGATTTCTTATTTGTTGTGCACTATTTGAAAAAAATACTACATTTTGACGTTACAAACACTAAAATCATCGTTTTATTCGGTTTCATACTTCTAAAATATTACAGCCATAGAGAAATTCACCAAACTAAATGTAAAAGCATGTCAAACTGTACCTAGAAGAAAATTCTATCAACTTGAAAACTTTTTAAAATTTTCGTATTATTTGAATTTTGTACAGCTTGTCTTCCACCTTCAATGATTTAATGTATTATTTAAAAAAAAATTTGACTCATTAATAGATACGAAAAAAAAATCATACAATAAGCAAAAGTATAAGCTTTATTACTGATGAAACATATTTATATAATGGAAGTATCGAAAATACACATGTATCATGCATTGAATGCATAAGTTTTTTTTTTTTATCAAAAAATTTATAGAATTATGGGAAACGCATTTACGAAAGCCATTAAAAATTACGCAAAAACTTTCAGATTTTTTCAATTTCTACTGGTACGTCCAATGGTTAAAAGATTTTGGAGGCATCATGAGAAATGGAATCAATCAATATTTAAGTATTGGTCAAATAGACGCTTTCAAAAATATTTTGGATATTCTGGTTGAAATATCTTCAGTTCTTAAAAAAATTAAAAAAACCAACATATGTATTGACTTTATTAAAGATCAAGTTAACCTATTGATCGAGTCACTTCCAACTAAACTACACATTTCTAAACAGAGACTTGATGACATCCAGTTGGAAATCAGACGATTGCATTTAATGGTAAGTTACCTTGATATATTATTTAATATTTAAACCTTGATTAAAACATAAAAAAATGTCATTGTACGAATAATTTTATTCACGGGTACACGCTAAGGTGTACCATAATAGTAAAAATTTATATTATTTATCTTACTTACCCAGTTGAAACAAAACCAATTNAAACCTATCATATTTTAAAAGAATAATACTATGTTGCAATATTTTTATGAGCGACCTCATAATTCATATTGGAAAATTTTAATAAACTTTAAGGCACTGCTATGAAGAGTGAAATAAAAATTAAAGTCTGACTCGATATAATCCAAAGTATCCCCACGGTTAAGATCCTATGTGTGTCACTCGACTCTCATATTATATCAATTTTATCGTAAAACATAAAAAAATGTCATTGTACGAATAATTTTATTCACGGGTACACGCTAAGGTGTACCATAATAGTAAAAATTTATATTATTTATCTTACTTACCCAGTTGAAACAAAACCAATTTGTAGGTTCAAGTATACAACATATTTTCTGAAAGCCAATGGTTAGCGTCAGAAAACAAGAAGGAGTATGAGATTTTGATAAAACGATTGTCGAATGTTGACAAATTTACAGATAATATCGAAACAGAAATTATATCTAACTCCAAAAAATTGAATGAGAAAAATAAACAATATGCACTTATTGAACGATCCCAAGTAATAACAGCAGTGGGTCTCAAACAAGGGCATTGGTTCAAGTGCCCAAATGGTCACTACTATGCTATAGGTGAATGTGGTGGAGCAATGGAACGATCAAAGTGCATCGAGTGCAGAGCTTCTATTGGTGGTGTACAGCATCGCCTCGATCCAAACAATACCTTAGCAAACGAAATCGATGGTGCAGTGCATCCAGCGTGGCCTACAGCCTTGAATCATTAAATTTTTAACATTATCTTCATTATTTTCATACGCTATTATCTATTAATTAATTAATTTTTATTTTGTCTCTATTTAAATAATAAATAATTACCATATACCTACATATTACATCGCTATACTACACCAACGCAGGTGATCTGGTCTGGTGGTGTACCCTCGTATGCACTAGACTGGTCAAAACAATAATTAATTTTTCGTACAAAGTTACACTACACACATAAATATCATTTTTCCCACTTCATACGTTATTAAAAATATCATAATGATTTTCAGACACATTTGTTTATTGAAAAACAAAACTTTATTTTTTGTTTGTCTTTGACCTCAGCAGTAGTCGTAGGAGCCCCCTTAAGTTTATGTAAAGAGACATTTTTCAGCATTTGTTTGTTTGTTGGTAACTTACTATTANTTAAGAAAAAAAACAAAAAAAAAAAAAACTGTAATATTACCTTCTTCTTACCTAATCTATTATTTTTCAGCCTCCAAGGTACTACAAAATTATTTTATAGTAAACAATGTTTTTTATTTATTCTTACGAGAAAATTTTAAAATGGTAATTATATTTTTAAAAATAATGGTTTGACACCAGATTTTTCAAAGATAATTTATAATAAATCTTTGATCGAAAGATTAAAAAGAAGAAAAAAAAACTTGTAAATTGGTAAAATGCAAGTAAAAATTTGTAATGTGATGAATTAACTTAGCCCAATTTGTAGTCATCCAGTTTTTCCCTATACCTAACGATCATCCAAATAACTCAATCGTAACGAAACCCTCCAAAAAAATCCAAGCATTACAATCCACTCTACTGACGCAATAGTCCAAGTTACGCGCTCCATTCGCATGCAAGGCGAAAAAGTACGGCTCGCACACATTCTACGAACGCATTGCACACGCATGTATAGCCAGTCATGATAACCGATAGAAATAAATTCATTACACTGAGAGCATAGTATTTATCATATACGCACACACAGTATAGGCATAGATACTCATGGATTATACACCACCACTACGCACACACACAAAAAGTAATCGCGGAAAAAACAAATAAAGCACGCGCTTACGTATTATTAACTCATTCTATTAGGTTTCGGGAAACCTTATAAGCGCACCGCTCTCGTGCGTTGAAAATCGGCTGAAACGCGGATAATATACAGGGTATGTTACATTCGTAGCGAGAGCCCACGCGATGCTTATCCTTGTATACACCTATATATTATAATATATACGTGTAAAAACGGGGAAATAATGAAATCCTTGTGTATTTCAAGTATCGTTGTAACACACGCGTACGTGCACCGCGCAATGTCGGCAAAACCGGCAAACTCGACGCATGGGTTTTAATATTCAACAGCCCATAGATCCTCCAAAGATATCCATTCTTTATTTTATACATATATAATGCTCTGCATCTTGCGAACACGTTTCCCTGATCTGTATAGGCACTAGTAAAAGCTATGTACGGATAGATTGAAAAATCCAAGTGACCAAATAAATCGATACGCCTCGTGCTGAGTAACCGATTCCGCATATACCGTCCGCAACGATCTCACGTGTATTGAACAGTCTGAGTAGACAAAATTAATTGTTATGCCTACTAAATGAGAAAAAAATATCGACGCTAAGAAGGGAATGAACAATCAAAGGCGCATACATTTTCCTCCTCGTTTGGCGGTCCGATTGTACAGTCTCGTATGTATACATCTAAGTATGCGTACATAACATTACATCTCGCTCCACCTCGGCAATTACAGTTTACTCGTGCCACCGCCGTAATACATAGTCATACCATGCATATCATGCACCCGTAAGCACGTAAACGTCCTTGACTCCGTGCTGCGGCTTTTATCCTTTTAGGTATATTGTTGGGTCGCCACCATCGTTTGGATCTAATAATACCTACGTAGCTGTAATGCGTATGCTGTGTCGATATAGTACACACGTGGTATATGTGTCTTTAAGTGTACAGTTGAGAGTAGTTTGTATTCTGCTCGGTACTGTTTGGTGCACGCACCTACCAGCGAATCTACACAAAAAATTTTCTAAACACACCAACTTCGAAACATAATCACGTTTTTTTAGATAGTACATCATATATTTACATTATTTATAAAAACGATAAATGAATAGATAATAATATTTATGACGGACTGTTTGAGATGAGTTATATGCATACTACTAAAATAAATCTAGATCGGTTTGTTGATTGAGCCTCTGTAGGAAGAAAAACATTTTTTTTAAATCAATTCGTATAGTTTGATTTTGTCTGACTGTTTTCATGGAACTGATCCAGACAATACTTTTTTACTAACAAAAATAGTATTTCATTTTTGGAAAAATATTTCATGAAACTATGGGGTGTGGGTTAATTTATTATGCAATAAAGAAATATAAATATCTGTACTTATATAATCCAAAGTATCCCCACGGTTAAGATCCTATGTGTGTCACTCGACTCTCATATTATATCAATTTTATCGTATGTGCTCATGGCTTAACTACGGATCAATGAAAGATACAATACCTTCATGAGTCTGAAATCAAGAACAATTTCTTGTAACTCTGCTAGAAACAAGTGTAAAAATTTCGACATGCATTGTATTAATGTATAATTTATTAAATTAGGATTTTAAAAGGATTACCACAACTTATAAATGATGGGTAAAACTACCGCTTAGTTTTTATCATTAATGAAAAGTTTTAATTTAAATGTTGGATCTTAAATATACAACAGCCTAAAACATGATTTTAAAAAAACTTTCTTTTATATTTGTAAAAGTACATAGAATTTCCCTAAGATAAGTTGATTTTCATTTTTCAAAACCTGTAAGCTATACTTCTCTATCGCAAGTACCGATTAAAGCTGTCACTTCACCTGATTTTTTTCAAACGTTGGTCTAACGTACTCGTTCAGTTAAAATTTACTGAAAAGTGCTACTACTTGACAAAGACCAATCCAATTGTTTACTTTGATAGATCCATCTCATACAAAATTTTTTTTAAAGATTCATTCATATAATACATACATACATACAAAAGGCTGATCACTGGTTACACACTAATACATACGGGTCCATGTATTATATATTCTGGTTCTTGGTTCAAGATTATATCGTCGCCCTCCTTCCTCCACCTCCATCTTTTTACTCACAGGTATCCTTTTGCTTCGTTTGTTCTTATCCGTGTACTTAAGCTCTCGTGGGTGAATTGTGTGTAGGTGTGGTTTATAGCTTTTCATGTACAAAGAGAAAGAAATAGAGATAAGAACAACTTGTTTAACTGCGTTTTTGGAAAGATTACGTGCACGTATTGCCGAAGCTAGTTGTTGTGCGGGTGGATCAATAAATATATGAATGTTAGCATTATTTTTTATTGTTTCATTAACCATAACATGCATTATTTCTATAACACAGTAGAAAGTACCATAGGAACGACCATTATTATAGTCTTTTTTTAATATTTAGACGCTGATAAGCTAGACTGTGACAAGTATGCCTTGTTTAAATGCAACTTCTATTATTTTTACTCAAAAATATAACAAAACAAAAAGCATCGTGTGCTCTCCGTTATGTATAAGTTTTATTTTTTTATTTTTTATTTAGTTATTACAATTTTGAGACTTGCAAGCTATAGTATTAATAGTGAATAGAGACGCGTTTAAAAATAGGTGCATGGGACTTATACATCATTGTACGTAACTNAAAAAAAAAAAACAGTTTCAAAAGGGCATTGAACCCCCGAGACCTCGTATCTTCTAACCACGTCCCTTACCTACTCTACTATGTGCAGGCCTATCATAGATAATGATATTACTTAATCTTATCTTACTGTTGGTATTAAATTAATTAAGTATTAAATATTAAATAGTGCAAACTCAGTTGGGTAAGCTGGCTAGATATCAGGAGTATAGATAAATAAGAGAAAAATGTTATGAAATTAGAGCTAGCGTAAAGAAAATAATTGAGAAGTCTGGAAAGTAATGGTGTATGAAGAAACAAGCTATTGATTAAAAAGGAAGATTTTCCGGAAATTATTTATGAAAACATGTATATTATCAGTTTCAGGCAGATTTTGGATAATGGTAATTGTAGGTCTGTTCTGTTATATATCGGGCATTTCCGAGGTTATGTTGAGTATTTTTGACATGAGAATAGTGCAAGCAGGTTAGGGCATTTGATGAGATTATGGGTAAGCCTAAAGATAAATAGTGCGTCATAGTATTTATGTAAGTTTTCAAAGGTAAAAAGCGAGTAATAAAATAGACAAGGAGAATAATTGTGATTAGTGTATGCTATGGGAGAATCAGTTTTATAGGAAGCAACTCAGAGTGCCATGTAGTATACTGTTGAGCTGAGAAAAAATTTGATGAGCGTAAGGGGACAAATCAACCGAGGCATAAGTTATATGTGGAAATATTAAAGACTCAAATAAGTGTAGAATGGACTGTGGTAGTGAGAAATTACGTGTAGTTCGTTGTATGAAGCTCAAGAGCTTAAAGCATTTACAGATGACTTTGCTGATATGGTGTTTGAAGGATCAAGAGGAATCAAGAGTAACACCCAGATCAGATAGAGACTCCACTTGTTTCGATTCACTACCATTAATTAAGTAATCGTAAAATGATTTATTTATATAAACTTTCCAATAGAAATGTTAAATAATATCTGTGAAGGTCTACCACCTTATGAGCTTAATTTAAAAATTGGTAAAATAGTTATGCTAATTAGGAATTTGAGTATTTAAGATAGTTTATGTAATGGTACACGTTGAAAATTTGCTTATTTATTCTTTAAATTTAAAATTGTCTGTTTTCTCACGTACAAGTAACAATGAAAGTGTGTTAATGAGAAGCCATGATAGACAGTGTTCAAATAATATATATATATCTCTAGGTAGCTTCTTGTCCTGCTGCCCTCTGGCAGTTGAGCTTGCTCATTATTCATCCTCAGCCAATATGTGCTGTTAACCTGAAGAGCCCCGTGACCCTTGTTTTCTTG